CCGGGCCGTACTGGCCCGGTTGAGGCTGCCAGAGACGGACGTCGAAACCCGGGTCGGCTTTGAGGCCCCAAAGAGCGGTGTCTTCAAGGACGTTTATGCGCCTGGAAGTATTGTCAAAGTGTGGCACGAGGAGGGATTACGGGCTCAAGAGGCCATTGAGGAGGGAGATCAGAGCCAGGGTCTTGGACGGACGTGGCGGAATGAGATCTTCGATGTTGTTGGTCGGTCTTGGGGAAGTACTTGATGTTAGTTTGAGTGTCTCACTGTGGGATGAGTTTATGAGTGATTGTGCTATTCTTTGTTCAAATGTTCATTTGATGCGACAGTTCAACCGCCTCTGTACGACTCTATACTTTTAACCTAGCTAATGTAGCTGATCACTTTGTTCGTTACTCAACATCTGACAATCTAGTCTAAACCATACCTCAAACCAAGGAAAATGCTCACCACGTGACCGGACAAACCATTTTCCTCCACGTTGCGGCCACCTAATCAAAAGCTACTACTTCACTATCAACGCGGACTTTATCAGTAGTGGCCGGCCAAACACCGCGCAATCAGTCCAGGGCAAGCGCAAAACAATCACCGCCAGTACCAACTCCATCTTGAGTTCTTTGCTGATCTCGAGACTTCCTCAGCCTTCAGGACCATTGCCTTAAACAACGAGATTACAGACAGTCGAGTCTTACTTTACAAGCATAGTTTAAAGATACAATACCGATACACCACCTTGGCATTGACCATTGAGACATCGTTGACCAATTGCTACGTGTAAGCGCAGCTGTGATGCAGCTTGCCTACCAATCATCACAATGCGTCTAATTACAATTCTGCTCGCGATCGCACTTTGTCTGGTCCTGGCGTTGGCCAAGGAAGACTACTACAAGATCCTGGGGCTGGACCGCTCCGCCTCGGAGCGGGATATCAAGCGCGCGTACCGGACGCTGAGCAAGAAGTTCCATCCGGATAAGAATCCGTAAGTCTTTACCGCTCCAAGGCTCTAGCGAGAGAGAAGAATGGAGGCTGACACTAAGTACGACGGCAGAGGCGACGAGACGGCGCGGGAGAAATTCGTCGAAATCGCAGACGCGTACGATGTCCTCTCTACACCTGCCACGCGGAAAATCTACGATCAATATGGACATGAGGGAATCGAGCAGCACCGGCAGGGCGGGACGGCGGGACGCCCCGCGAACGACCCCTTTGATCTGTTCTCGCGGTTTTTCGGCGGCGGAGGACACTTCGGGCATGCGCCGGGCCACCGGCGCGGACCGGACATGGAGATGCGGGTGGGGCTGCCGCTGCGGGATTTCTACACGGGGCGGGAGATCCGGTTTGGGATTGAGAAGCAGCAGATCTGCGATGCGTGCGAGGGGACGGGGTCGGCGGACCGGCAGGTGGTGACGTGCCCCAAGTGTAGTGGGCGCGGGCGGGTGATCCAGAAGCACATGCTTGCGCCGGGGATGTACCAGCAGGTGCAGATGCCATGCGACGCGTGCCATGGCCAGGGCAAGACGATCAAGAAGCCGTGTCCCGTGTGTGCGGGGCAGCGGGTTGTGCGGCGCGAGGTGGAGACGGTTGCGACGGTGGAACCGGGCATGGATAAGGGGACGCGGCTGGTGTTTGAGAACGAGGGCGACGAGAGCCCTGACTGGGTGGCGGGCGATCTGATCCTGGTGCTGGAGGAGAAGGAGCCTGAGTTGGCGGCCGAGGAGGCGCGCCGCACCGACGGCACGTTCTTCCGGCGCAAGGGCAGGCACCTGTTCTGGAGGGAGGTGCTCTCGCTGCGGGAGGCGTGGATGGGCGATTGGACGCGCAACATCACACATCTGGATGGGCATGTCGTGCAGCTGAGCCGCAAGCGCGGCGAGGTCGTCCAGCCGCTTTCCGTCGAGACAGTCAAGGGCGAGGGCATGCCCTTTTACTCCGAGGGTCATTTGCACGAGCACCACGACCACGATTCGGAGCCGGGTGATCTGTACGTCGAGTACACTGTCGTCCTCCCTGACCAGATGGAGAGCGGGATGGAGAAGGATTTCTGGGCCATGTGGGAGAAATGGCGCAAGAAGCACGGGGTCGATCTCGGCAAGGACAGTGGCCGGCCTATGCCTTCAGAGGGCAAAGACGAATTATAATCCTCTTCGTTTCTGTACATCTCTGATAGACTAGACGGGAATGATAAAAGTCTCCAAACGGCCGACCCATAGATAGTATTTAATGTTTGTGTGACCCAAAAACACAGTCCCCAGGGTCCTCGTCGTCGCGCCAGCTCCGTCCTAACGATCTTCGGCGACGAGCCTATAAAACGAGACAAAGCACCTCCAGACCTATTGCTTTAACTAGACAGCATTCTCACCAGCACTTTCAATCCAAAAAGCCTCCCACCACGACGAAACCCCTCATGCTCCCTCTGCTACTGCAAGGACAGCCCTTGAACCGCATATCCATCGCTCTTCAACCACTCCCTCCCACTAACTTGGAAGGATTCCCTATCAAATACCCTGCCCCACCCAGCGTCCCGATACAGCTTCTGCAGGGCTCTCCAATACTCCGTAAATCAATCTCTACCGGATATGGTCTCTTGATTCTAACTCGTCCCTGGGCTGCTGGATGGCAGTCTTTTCATCCATTGGTAACCATATTCGTCCAGAGAAGAGGTTTTGAAAGATGAACTGGTGGTCTTCAATCTGTCGCTTGAGGACAGCAGCCGAATCATTAGGGTTATGGAATGACGTATCCAAGAGTGTAAAAGCGGTAGAGGACCTCTGAGAAGATAGTTCAGTATCGAGCTCACACCACTCGATGATGGTTTCTGCGGCTGTTACTCTACTTCTCTCATTTAAGCGAGAACAGCGGACAGACCTTAGTGGTGAGACTCGGCAGGTATCCAGGCAAAAGCTTTGATCGGATTGAATTGCTGGTCCAGACAACGCTCAATCCAGCTAATCTGTCTTTTGCAGGTTTTTTTGCTTACTTGTAGTACCATTTCAACTGGTGTAGTAATAATGGACTGATGATTGATAAATTCTTTGCATTCAGGAGGCGATATACCGTACACAAAGGGGAATATATATATCAAGGCTGACCAAACATTTCACCACCGCTGCAACTGTTCACTAGATACAATGGGTTTAGCACTGAATCTTTCCTCCCTAGTGAGGAGCCTACTTCAGATTCTGCCATGACAGCCACAGACAGCGCCAGGAAAGATATGATTCGCCCGAGATTCATAGCTGCCTAATAAGCGGAAGATTCAGTTTCGTGTCTTCCTTCTTCAGTGTGATGTCACACACACGATTACTTTCAGAGGCCAAATTGCAGATGACAAAGTAATTTCAGAGGTTTGAGTCAAGAGGAGGTTAGTTGAACGGCAAGGCAGAAACACAATGCGGGATATTGTTGTCCTTTATAAGTCCGAGATATTCAGGCTTTTAATCACTGCTGATCCGGACCATCGTGGGAGATACCTTGGAAACTAAACTATGCCAAGTGTACGATTTTAAGGGTCTGAACTATGTTGGCTGAGATGGAATAAAGTTGGTCTAATGCATAAATACCTCAACCTCACGTTGTAACAAGACATGTCACATCTACATGCCTGTTACGGACAATGTTAGCTAGCTGAAGTAATACTCCTCTTACAGCTAGGAAGATACACATGTCTAGCAGCTGCAGAACACTGGTTACCTTATTACCTCATCTTGTGCAATATGATGTATCATGTATCATGTATCCTACTATGTACCCCATGCCGTTGTATATTGTTCATGACTAGCGGGGACATTGTTCCATGGCCTTGTGGGAATATTAAAAGTGCTGTTTTACTTGCTATAGGGATCAGCAACTAGCTCCTGCAGCTGTGCCTTGATAATCGTAAATAGGATTTGTCCCAGACAAAGCTTACCTTTACTTGTGTCATGCGGGCCTGGCTTAATTCAGGCTAGCAGTGTAATGGCTCGAGCTATTGAAGACTGGGACAACACGCAGTAGGATGTAGGATGACATGGCATTGTTGACTGAACCTTAGCAGCAAGCCTCTGATCGTTCAAGGAGTTCTTTGCATTGTTAGCCATGAGAAGACTATACTCTCGGTGGGGTTGATGAGGGACTAGTCCATTTAACTGTCTTGATCTATAGTTTCAATTTTATAGTGCGTCAAGGGACGGCTTGAAATTTGAAAAGCATCATTCAATTGGTTCTGCTACGTAACTTAAAGGAGAATGGCATGCACACAAGTCACTTTGTCGCAAGGCAGCCATGCACGAAGAACGGAGTATAGCTGCTGTAGGGAGCAGAAGAGTCAGAAATCTGCTTGTATTGAACCTATTCATCACAGATCTAATGCAAGCCACAGCACCATGCTTTCTTTTTTCTTGACACCCAGCGACCACAGCAGCTGGTTACAATCACTAATTAAGAAACCTCATTACAAATCTAGCTGCTGAGAAGAGAAGCCATCCCCAGTTGCACAGGAAGATCCAGGCCTGGCCTTCCCTATGCAGGTCTAGACTACCACACAGAAACGGCCAGCCAGTGATGTTGGCGCTATTCAGACTTTGGGGAATCTGTCCAGGAATCAAAAAGTCTACCTAGTATACTGGGTTCTGGTGGCTTGCTACTCAGTGAGTATAGTTCACCTTGGGTTCTTCCTACATCCAGCTGACATTCTGGCACGAACTCAATCATACCCTCTGAGGATGATGCAGAGCTGTGGAAAGTAGAAGCGGGAGGCTAGGAAATGTCCTTCAGCTTATGTGCTTCCTCGCTGGAGTGCATTGGTCAAACCTTACTCTGTACCTCAGCAAAACTGATAGTTGAGCACAGTTATACAGTGACTGGAAAGGCTATATAAGGCATCAAGAGAACCTTGCTTGGGGTTCAGCAGGTCAAGCAGACCAGGAAGCAACTCTGATCATCCCTCGTAGTCAAGAATTCTTGCCCTGATAGTTTCAGTTCATCTATTTCTACATACTTTTGCAAAGACCGCATACAACTCAACCATGGCCTACTACACCTATCTCTCCTTGAAGATACCGGGTAATGGAAACGACGACGACTTTAACTGGCTTGTCACCTCCACCGATCGAAACACTGCCGATACATTCTTCCGTATCCTGCTGGAGAACGAGGAGCTCAAACTAGGCAGCACAAAAGCGAAGGTCATCAAAATCCATAAACTCACCAGGCAGTCTTCTCGACTTTGGTCAATCAACTGCGACGACGGAGACGTCGGCGCGACGCTGCATTTTGCTCTTTCAGGCAAAAATGATTCCGCCAACACTGCTGAAGGCACTGTCCTCCATGATTTGATTGGCAAGATCAAAATCTACTGGATGGGCGGCCGCGCAGGGCTTCAGTGGAGAGTCATCGCTCAGCAGACTGCTGTCAACGTGGACGATGACTGGCTGTCCGGATACAGTTTCTTCATACGCCGACGGGGCTATTCGAACTCCTACTGGTATCACGACGGAAAAGGAACACGGCTTTCCAACGATAAGCGAACTCGGTTTGTTGTCTCTATTACAGGGGCTCAAGTCATGGCAGCCAAGATCCCTCTCATCGCCAGCGACAGGATAGTCATTAGTACAATTGGTCCTGGTGGTGAATTGCAGCCGATCAAGTTCCGGAAAAGCGGTTCTGGGACAGACCAAAGCACGTTCTCGTTTGGCGATTTCTTGACAAGCTTCAATGTTGACGGCGGCGACAACAACAGGATCGTCATTTCGGAACCAGGTCGCGGGGATAGTTTTGAGCTCTGTGAGGGAATCCCCTGTTATTTCTAAGCGGCGACTCTGCGGAGCTTGGCTGGGTTCAGCCGTAAATGATCATTCTGGGCCTGGTATATATCATTGGCACTGTGTCCGTTCCTTGTTGATGTGAATAAGCAAGCACTCGTTTGAATGCCGTTACTGAGAAATGATGGTTACATCTCTGGCTTTAAGGAGTATATCCATAATAAATCTTGTCCTAGGGCGTAGAATTAGTGAAACGTTTGTCCACCTTATAATCAATAATCCTGACTCTCAATACGCTTGAGCAGTGATGTACTAAAGACCAAAGAAAGTCGTGGCCGACACTGGCTATTGTTATACACTAGAGCACTCGACGTCTATACCCGAATAGGAACAGTCAACCCGACTGGTCCAGAATCACATGGCAGTTTGCACAGTTTGCACCAAACCAGCAGCAGAACCACACACCGCCTTTCATCCATAGAATTTTTATCCTCACCACGACAAAAGAAGCCATCTATCAAATCGCAATCGGCAGTCCACTCCCTTTTGTCAAAGGATTAACTAGCATATAATCGTCAAAATGGTCCGCCAACTCAAATACCACGAGAAAAAGTCCGCCCCCCACTCCCTCCCTGTCTCACAACAAACGACCGGCAACAACTAACAAACCTATAGACTCCTCCGAAAGGTCGACTTCATAAACTACAAATCCGACGGCGGGCACCGCGAACACCAAATCCGGCAACGTTATCACCTCCAAAACGACACAGACTACAAATCCTACAATGCGCTGGCCGGCTCCCTCCGCCAACTCGCCCACAAGCTCTCCCAGCTCGACCCGGACTCGGACCCGCTGCGCAAGAAGCTCGAGGCTGAGGTTCTGGATAAACTGTGGCGGATGGGATTGCTGAAGCAGTCGCGCGAGCAGGGGGCCGGGTTGTCAAGGGTGGAGCGCGAGGTGACGGTTTCGGCGTTCTGTAGGAGGAGGTTAGCTGTTGTGATGGTTAGGACGGGAATGGTGGAGACTATTAAGGCTGTATGTTTCCCTTTTCTTCCTTGGCGGACTGAGAAAAAAGGGAAGTAGGTGCTGACTTGACAGGCTGTGACGTATATCGAGCAGGGACATGTGCGCTGTGGACCGGAGGTCGTCACGGACCCGGCGTATCTGGTTACGCGCAATATGGAGGATCACATCACCTGGGTGGATAGCAGCAAGATCAAGCGCAATATCATGCGCTACAGGGATAACCTGGATGATTTTGAGCTGTTGTAGTTGCTTGGCCGACTGCGGACTGGGCGGACTAGGCTGACTGGGGGATGGCTATACGCTTCTATCGATACCCATATATTGCATTGCATGGCGTTGGGTGTTACGTACATTACTGGAGATCTAGAAAAGTGCACATTCATCAAAATCATTTCGAAATATATGATATGCTTGATATGCTAAGACTAGGATAAAAGAAATGGCCATGGTGGCAGGGTATCACAATCTCAAGTCTACACCCGTATAAACTAGGTCCACAGCAAAAACACGAAACCAGGCAGTTCGTCAGTGTAATCATCGTGGTATCATTGCTGCACCACATCGCCAGCGACAAGCAGCATGCTAAACAAGACGCAACACGGAGAGATCGAGACGCTGCTCAGAGACTAACATGTACTCCGCCGAGGGGCAAATCCATGAACGATCAACTTCTTCTTGAATTTCAGGCCTCTACGGGATTTGTTCACCGTCTCATTGGCCGGCTCGTCAGGCAAGTCCATTCGAAACCTCCGGACGCTGCCCTCATAATTGCCCTTGCCATTTTTCCCTTCTTCGAAGAACGGCATGCGATTGTCCCCAAATTGGCACCACCGGGGTGCCACTCGTCGCCAGAATCCCCGGACACCGGTGCTGGCTCGATCGATTTTCTTGTACTCTCGCCTGCGAGTAGATGGAGATGTCCAGTCGATCACCGTCGACGTCACCTGTTTTGAAGCGCCGTCGGCTATTGAATCGGCGGCGGGTACATGAGTCGGATGATCGGGGCTCAGGCTGGTGTCCAGTCCGGGTTCTCGAGCTGAAGTGGAGAAACGGGCGTTGGCAATCGGCGAAGCTGGCGGTGAACTGAATTCAGAAGATGCTCGGCGTGCACAAGATGTCATATAAGGAAGGGCTGCCGGCGGAGATCGTCTCTCCTGCGAGCAGGATTGTTGTAATTCGTTGTCCTGGAATAGTCGACAGGACTCGCGGTGGAGGGCCAGAAGATCCTCACGCTTTGCCACTGGATCCTTTCGATCAACGATGGACGGTGTAAGCGATGTAGTGGTTGCTGCACGTCGGTGCGAATGCAAAGAACTGTGGCGGCTTGTCGGTGTGGACCGGCGAGTGCTTCGAGATGTGGAGCGATGGTGCTCAGGAGATTTTGCAGAGGACGGCGGCGATACTGTTCGTTTCCTTTTGGGCGTGCGATGGCTATCCGAAGTAGGGGTTGAAGGCGTCATCGCCGCCGTATCTGGTCGTCCGACTGCAGGCGTCAAGGTGTTTTCCATTTGGTCCAAGAGATCGTTCGACGTCAACTCCAATGCTGTAGGCGAATCGCATGCATCCGCAGAAATCTCAGTGACCTCTACGGTACTGTAGAAGGTCTTGGTCTCTGAAATGTCGCTTAAGCAGGGCGAGATAGCTCTTGTAGTGATATTGAGGGATGGCACAGCTGAGACTGCCAAATACGAAGCAGGTTGATCATAGCCAGTAGTGAGAGCGAAGGTAGTAGAAGGATTTATTGCGGAAGTCGAGGTAGTGGTTGTGATAGAGGAGGCGAAGGTAGCTTCGTCTACATGGATCGAGTGGCTTCCGTGATGAGAGTGGCTCATATGGGCATTGCCGCTGGGCAGTATAGCTCCATGACATGTGAACGAGGCGGCCATACTCCTAGTCGCTGCTCAACATCAGGCGGGAAGAGCAAAGGTTAATAGGACGGCAAAGGTTCACATGTGCTTTGCCGTCAAATGGCACCAGTTAGAGGTAAGGGTCAAAAGACCATCGACTCAAAGGCAAGTCTTTGTGCCGCTGACGGATGTGGTGATTCCAAGGGTATATGGATGAATCAAATTCCCTTCTTTTGCATCACGCAGCCAATCGGTAAGATAAAGTTAGGGTTCAAGGAGGGGAAGATCAAAAGAAGAGAGGGGCATATCACGGGAGGATCATTGAAAAGGGACTCATGATAAATGATCAGCCCGTTGATCAGGAAGACAATAAAGAATGTTATGTTGCAGAAAGAGACAGTAATGATAATGATGTCGAAAATAGAAACCTGAAACCAACGAAAGAACTGACTCAGTTAGGGAGGGATTCCCAGACGAAACCTCGCCCTTTTTCCTCCAGAAAGTGAGTCGATACTCGAAACTAAATACTTGTAGGAGACCAGGAAAGAATTCTCTTCACCAACTGTAGGCGCCCAATGGTGCCAAGTTGCCAACAGAGAGCGATCATCGTGGTGTGAGTATCTAGTTTGGACTCCATAGCGGCAACAGAGGACCCATTTTAGTTGATATCATTCATCGACAAATGAACGCGGCAATGATTGTCGCCGGGATTGTTGCCGGCGTTGACGCCCTAATGACACTGAGAACTGAAAAAGTAAAAGCCCCCGCAGTCACCCGAGAACAGGTCAGAAAATCCCAAAAAGGAAGGCTCAAGCAAAGAAAAGCCGCGGGGTTCGTCCGTCAGCCATTACCATCAATACATACAGAGTAAGTATGGACACCTAGGTACTAAGGTACAAAGAAAGCCGAATCCACCCATCTTCCTCCAAGGTGAGTCTAGATCCCTTGTCCCTGACCCCCTGCATGGTTCATTTCAGGAACCAAAAGAAACATTTAGAGATTCTTCCATGCAGTGTCAGCATCGGAAGGATGTTGACCCTGGATGGCTACGTCATTTGCAAGTTGCAACTTGAGTATGGAATAGTATGGAATACAAGAATAGAAAACTAGAAAACACTCCTAGGTACAACTGAGCTCTCCTTGATTACCTGCAAAAGCAAGGGACAAGGTGAGCCTGTGACTGGCCCTGGGCAATCCTGATACGAGACAATTTTCTTGGGCAGAATGCCGCCGGTCTCCACCTGACTTGCCCCACTAAGCCCACTCCTGCGCATGGACTTTCCTCCATCCGCGGTTGCTCAATGGGTCATCTGCCCCTCCTTCCAGCAGCCATTGGTTGACACAGTTGACCGCCGTTTCTATTCTTTGGCGAGGCGGTCAATCTGGACTTCTCACCTGGTTATGACTTATGATGTTTATAGATCAGCTAAGAGAACTGAGAATCCTGAATATGAGGGCTGATCCAGTTTTGATACTGGTCATATCAAGAGCTTGGTCCGTGCTATACCACTCAGTCTTTGAATCCTTGATTGCTTGAATCGGTCGACTCCTCAACTAGGATAAAGTAGCCGGCATCCACAGCTCAATCAAGTTCATGTCCGATTAAACTTCGAATCCATGTCGATACTGGCTTTTGAGAACCAACTAAAACTCTCGTGGTCTTGTAGCTGCTTGAATAGGCCTGCTTGGCTGCGCTATGACAGGCGGGATCATACTCATCCATGTGCGTTGGACGAAGTAAACACTATATACCTGTTCATTTGAGTTTGAAGATTGGCTCCCTGTTCTAATGCCTGCTGCCATGTATGTAGTAGTGCATGATCAGGCGCAACAGACAATTCAAGCCATCTGAATAGACTTTGATAATTCCAAATGGTGCAGTCTCCAGGACATCTTGTGGAGAGAATAGTTCCTCATGAAAGGTTGCGTTATGTGCATAAAGCTGACATCTCTCCCAGAGGCTGCTTCCTTTTCAACCCGACATTTAAGAATAACTTTATTCTGCCTTATTTCTATGGACCAGCATGCGTAGTCTTCATCTATGCCCAGGTGGTGGAGTGTCAGGATCGGGCCGACAGCCGTGTAATAGTGGTGGTCACTGTATGCAATTTATCGGTTCTCTATATCTAGGTGGCTTATAGTAGGACGCTTACAGTGCACAAAACGTTCAGACT